TTTAGTTATATTTATATAATGTTTTTAATTATATATTTAATTTATTTTAAGGTTGTTAGTGTTATATTACAATTTTTTATATTAGTTTATTTATATTTTATATAATGTATAATTTTTTCATTGGCGTTCTTAGGTGACTTTCATTATGTATAATTTAGTTTATTTATATTTTATATAATGTATGAAATATTGTGTTGTTAAATTTTGTTATAGATCATCTTCTACATCTATGCGTGTGACATGTGGACCCGTTGAGGATGATTTATTGACATTACAAAATATACATGTTTCACAACATGTTTGGAATAGAGAAGATGATAGGAGATTAATAGCACGACGTGCTGCTCCAACACGCAATGAAATTGACGGAATTCCACATCAAATAGTTCCGTTATTAGACCAGGCAGGATTTGGATATGGATTGCTCGGTTGAGTTATATCAAAGTTAGTCATGGTTTGTTAACTGCTTTGGTAGAACGATGGAGACCAGAAACACACACATTTCACATGCCATTTGGAGAATGCACAATTACTCTCCAAGATGTTGGTATGCTTGTTGGTCTTCCAGTTGACGGTGAAGCACTGTTAAGTCGAGGTAGTGCTAATATATTTGAATTAGGTACTAAAATAACTATACTTTAAGTTTTTTTTTGTTATACTAATTGTCTTTTATAATATTAATAATCGGAAAATAATTTGTTGTCATATGACCATATCTTCGACCATCTGCATCATATGTCATGCTCCATTTGTCTTTTGATATCCCTCCTATCCACCTTTCAACATCAGGGCTAGATTCACAAAACTTTTGCAAATTGCGATAAAAAATGTGCTTACACGGTGTATACCCTGCATACAAATTATAAATAATGCACAATAAATTTTTTTGAAATGATTAAAAAATTTAAAATAACAATACGTACCTAACTTCACAAGCTTTTGTTTAAGTTTCACATCCTTGAATCGAGTATTAAAATTACTTGCAATGTGCCTAATGTAGTACTTGTGATATGCATTTGGCGTTCTCCAACCAATTGCCTCATTGTCAATGGCCGATTTAATGCTACGATGTCGATCAGATATTAAACATGTCCCTTCTTTATTTGTAACATGTAACCGCAAATGAGACAAGAACCACGACCACGCAAGTAATGTTTCTCCTTCAACCACAACAAATGCAAGAGGAAGAATGTTGTTATTACCATCTTGTGCTGTAGCAATGAGCAATATACCTCGATACTTGCCATATAGATGAGTGCCATCAATTTGTATCAAGGGTTTACAAAAATTAAAGGCATCACAACACGGCTTGAATGTCCAGAATAATCTGTGAAATTGACGGTAACCACGATCACAACGATTACCAACAAAAAACTCATCATGACACAGATCATAAAATGACCCTGGAGCAATTTCTTTCATGTATTGGAGCCATCGAGGTAAATAAGCATACGATTCTTCCCAATCTCCAAAAATGTTAACAATTGCTTTTTGTTTCGCCATCCAAGCCTTTTTATAAGATATTTTGAACCCAGTTTGAGATGTTATTCTCTCTTAGATAAGGCTAATCTTGATTGATGGATCTTGGTTAACCATTCCTACATATTAAATATTAGTAATCACTAAGATAAATTATTATTAATATAAACTATAAACTTTGCAGAACTTACCTTGTATAAATGTTGCAATTAACTCAGAATCTAACTTAGCATGATCTTGGGACAAAGACATGTTCAAACACGTATGACGTCCACCCCACTGAGTCACTTTCCACTTATCAGATTTCTTTGACTCAATGGCTCTCATGTACCATCCACATCCATCATGTGCATTTGGACATCTAACAACCCACTTGGTCTTTTTCGACTCAACCACATAAAAACTTTGATGCATTCTCATTGCATTTTGCTTTACTGCATTTTTAACCGCATCTTTATTCTCAAACTCCAACCCCACATATAAATCTTGGCCAATTGACCAAGTATTACGCAGATCCATCCTTGGGATATCTTCTTCATCTGGATGATTCCAATTGATGTTAGTGTAGTGGGGTAAATTACCCCAAAATTGACTTCCACCTATTTTAATAATAATCAATTTAGTACTTTCAATAAAATCAAATTCAACAATTTATTTTAAACAAATAACAAATTATTCACAAATTTAATTTTCAGATGTTACCTTCAGTAGATGGATAGATTGAAATTGGCTCAACCATTGGACTATTAACAATACCATCCGGCTCCACCTCATTATCAGATGGTTCACAATCATCAATTTCATCTTCATTGGATTCATCAATGCTTTCATATGATAATGAAACATGATAGTCTTCATCTGCTTCGTCATCTTCATCTTTATCTCTTGTGATCAAAGGTGATCGTTCAATTGACAAATTTTCTAATGAAAAAGTAGAAGATTCTTGCATACCTATTTCAGCATATAATTCCATTATTGGCATCACATTCTGGCTCTGAAATGCTTCTATCATGCATTGTACATCATCATCGTCACTCAATTCCAATGAAGAATATATGTTGTTATCACCTTGTGAAACTAAAAATCTGTAACTTACAGATAATATCACTTGATTTGAGTTAAGACCAAATTTGTTGTGAATCATTCTCTTTAATATATCCAAAGTGATACCTTGTTTAATATATATTTCTTTTCTTGCTCCATCAAATGTTACACCTTCAGCACCTTCATACATCTTTCCATTGTAAATATAAGCAATCATTTGATCCATAATATCTGCAACAAAAAAATTTTATTAGTACAAATAGCTACAATTTATATCTTAACAAAAACAAAATTATACTCACAAATTTCAATCAGAAAGAAACGTAACTGGCTCACAAATTTAAATCAGAGCAAAACGTAACTGGTAAATTTATGATTTCAAATGGGAATAAAACGTAACTGGGAGGGGGTATATATATTGATATTGTCGTTATGGGCCATAGCGACACAGTGTCGCTACAGGCCATAGCGTCACTTTTAAAAATAAGAAAAATACATAAAAAGGAATAAAAAATGTATAAAATTAA